TTTACATAGGATTAATATTACATATGTCCATCAGACCGAATTTCAGCCATGTTGGTCAGTCTCAATGGAGACTAGAGAACTGCACAGGACAGGATTTTAGTATCATCGTGTATGCGCAAGCACAGGTGCACTCTCTATTCCCTCACTCTAATGTCCGATGTGATAGTAATCTGACACTACCAGAGTGAGAACAGGCGCAGGACACCAACTACTTCATGTACTTTCTGAGTCACAGGGGTGAAACACTGCCACTGAGAATTACATGTCTAGAGAAAAAACCTAAAAACAGATATTGACACGACCCATGTTTCAAACCCAGGACTGATCAGCAATCGCTTTTTTCTGAGTACAATCATGGGGTGGGCTTTATTATTTATATAGGTTTAGTAAGTATAAAGAATTAGACTATCAAAAACAAGTTCCATCCCTTTAATTAAATTATTACTTTTGAATTTTCAAATCAAATCAAATTTTGTATAATTGAGTTCGGAGCTTATCAATACATGCCTGGTTGATATCTAGTTGTTCAATGGACCTACACCATGTGCCACTCTATTGCTCATAAACTATCCCTAGGACATGGGTTTTCAGAGTGTGGGTCGTACACCTGCAACAAGATGCAGGTGTCATTGTGTGGAAATGTACATGTACCAAATATAAGGACCCAAAAATTGATTTAATTCATCCAAGCCAAATGCAAATTAACAATATACACATATACATATAAATACCTATGTACAGGTGGACATTCAGGTATTTATTAGACTTCTCACTTATAAATGATCCCCTGTTTTAACAAGTGGTAAAATGAGAACATCAGCAATGTATTTGAAGTCAATTGAATACGAATTATTTAGGATAACTCGTCAGATCTTGATCAAATTTATATGGGACCACATGAGAAGCACCAGCTTTCAAATAAAAAATAATTATCAAAATCAGTTTAAATTAATTTAAAAAAATCAGTTTAAATACATAAAAAATACAGGTGAATTCAGAACCTTATTTTGAATTTGATTGAAAATTAAGTAAAATTGCAATCCTTTCAATGGTATTCAGGCTTGGACCAGTAGAACCAACAACTAGTTTGTCCACCAACTGGCAAGTAATTTGTATTATTAAGTTTCAAGAAGATGCTGCAAAGAATTTTAAGTTTCACTTCCCTCTATCGCCTCTTACAACACCATGCTAATTTTAATTTTTAAGGTTTACAATGCTAAAAGACTGATGTAGCAGCTCTAAAACCATATGACCGATAATAAAACACCAAAGCTGAATCATGCACTATGGTATCATTTCTGTTTATCAACTACCTTGATTACCATGGTAAGTATGGATATTTCAAGTTATTTCTAGAAATTCATGTTTTTTTTATAGAATAAGGATGACAAATGAGCACACAGTGCACCTGATGGTAAGTGGATGCTGTGGCCCATAGACATCTACATTTATAATCGGTAAGAATAAAAACGCGTATGCATTGTCACCCCTGAGGACTAAGATGGAATTCCTCATTTCCAGTAAAAAGGGTCTCCGGATCTCTACACTCACCATACGAAACACAGCAGTATTAAGCTGCTATTTCACGCTGGTATTCTGTGAGAGCGTGGTCTTTCCCCAGACGAGCCGACCCATTTATGCTACAACCATAATATAGCTGCAGCGTGGCTCTACCACGTGTGAAAACATGCCTGATAGACCATCATATAGGCTATAGGCTAATTAAAAATTTTGTAAAAGTTAAAACTACGGTTTTAATATAATTTTTATTTATCTTGGGAGTTTTAAAATGAAAGTTCAAAAGAATAAGCAATTATTATATAATTGCGATACTAACACAATTTAGGCATACTCATTATAAAACCTGTTCAATCTTAAAAAATTGCACATTCTAATACTAATTCCAATACCTTGAATCCTATTCAAACCGAATGTAACTTGAATCGCAAACATGAAATGTATTTGATTTTGCGCACACAAAAAGATTATGTAAGTAGATACTTCTCCTAAATGAGATGATATGTAATGGTTAGCTACAGGAAAGAGCTTCACTTACTGAGTTCTCCTTAGGTGCGTGTTTAAATAGTTTGTGTTAGAAAATGAAAATTTCGAATTTACAAAAATTCACCACGCCAAATGCCTTCTGTTATAAATTGTCGCTGTCAAGTGTCAAATGTATTGACATTTGACACTTGACAGCGAAAATTTAAAAATATCTAGGTATTACATCGTAGACAGAGAATGGGGATTCTCTGTTAGTTTCTATGAAAATATCAATGTTGTAGTTGTTTTTATTATTCGCTCGAGAGAGCAGGCAAAGAAACAAAGCCATACAGCCTTGTTTTTTTAATTTGAATATATAGAATTTTGAAGTGTAAAGGCCGGAACCAAGTCGTAATTTTCTTCTTTCCATCTCTTCAAAAGCCATATAGGCCGAAGCCAAGTCTTATTTTCTTTAGTTCTTCATATTTTCAAACTTTGTAAGTTTCAATCCATATAGATTTATCAGTCCAATATTTACAAAAACAGGAATACCATATTTCATATTTATTTTACAGTATTGTGAATAAAATTGCAAAGAGCTAAATATGTCATAGTATTCCTAAGAACATCTTGCAGGGCACGCGGAACGCTTTATGAGTTTTCATAAATTTGTATAAGTTTTTCAATGAGTAGCAATCTTTTTATGGCGTACGCTTGGCAGTTAAATATTATATGTTCTGCAGTCTGATCTGCTTCTATATCACAGAAGTTGCATGTTGTAGATGCTACTATTCTTCATCCTGGAAAGATGAGCTGAACGCTCATCCTCGATCGATAGTGGCCAAATCTAAGTCTGCACATTATTTTATAAAATTTTCTGCTATGATATCTTTCGTTGCGAGAAATCCAAGGAATACTTAATTCTGTATTAATTGATGCATACCAACGACCTTTTCCTGTCTCTAAAACAGCATTTCATTGCATTTTCCATTCTTCTTTTAACTGTTGCTTTAAAATTGAATATAAATCTATATGTGGTATTGCAATACCAGTTATCCTTTTAATATCAGCTGTGACTATACTTTTTGCTAAATTATGGAGTGTAAAGGTAAGGAATACAGACTGAGTATAAAAAAGTGTCCATAGAAAACCGCTAAATAAGGGTGGCGCCACTATAGCTACGTGGTAAATTTTAAAGAACGCGCCGGAAAATATTATTGGGATAGACTACTTTTTCGAGGTTATATTTACTAAATAAAATTATTTTAAATTTTAGAGCTACTGAGCAGTTGAGCAGCACACTTCACACCGTCGACAACTGCTAAGTTCATTTCATGTAGCTTTTTCCCGTGGCTATTCCAGCGCCATTGTGGAGAATTTTTGAACTGTTATTTATTGTTTTAGATGGACACTTTTTCAACTATTCTCCTATGAGAGATTGTTCTCCTTACCTATACACTCCATAAGCTAAATGATCTGTGTTTTCATTTCCTTGTACACCAATATGATGTGACGGAGTCTATAAAAATTTTACTTCCAAATTATTTTCTTTCAATTTCCACCACAAACTTTTGATTTCATAAATGATGAAAGACGTTTTAGCATCTAAAGTTCTTGCCTTCAGTGTCTTCAAGACACTCATGCTATCGGAAATCAGTAACCATTTATTAGATACATGTGGATGTTCTTCTATATATTTAAGAGCGATTAAGATAGCATAACATTCGGCAGTGTATATGCTTGCTGATGCAGGAATGGAAAGGCCACGTCCAGTTTTTAGATGAGGTATGTAAAATGCACAGGGTACTTTATTTTCTTATTTTTGAACCATCTGTGTAAATTTGTCGATATTCATCAAATGTAGATATAAGTTCATAAACCTCTTCTTTTCTTTTCAATTTTTCATCAATGTTTATGTGTATAACTGAATTTACTTTCATGATTCCCCTTATAACAAGGCCAAGTATGTGTGCTTTTGTGAATATTATATTGTTCATCATATTGTATCAGTTCATGAAAGTCATGGAGTATATTATATGGGGCTGAGTTAGATATATGAGACATACTATTATAGTAAAATAATACTTTTTGAAAAAGAAGGTGATGAGACAAATAATTAATATTTAATAAAAACCTAAATTGCAGATATTTAAACCTAAGTAAAATAGGAGGAATAAGACATCCAGCCTGTAAAGAAGCAATAGGAATTGTTCTCATGGAGCCGGTAATAATTCTTAAATTCTTATTTTGTATGGTGTCTAATTTGTTTACTAGTTTTTTATTTGATGCAAAACAAAGGAAGCCATACTCAAAATGGCTCCTGAACAAAGATTTATATAAAATTAATAATATTTCTGGATCAGCTCCCCAGTTAGTACTAACCAAAGCTTTTAATACATTAAGGGCCTTAGAAGCTCTGTCTGAAATATAATTCACGTATTTGGTCCAAGATAAGTTATTTGTAAAGATTACACCTAAAATTTTGCACAACTTTCTATTGGAAAAAATTTATTATTAAAAATTGTTCTAGTGTTAAATGGACGAATTTTACTAAATATTACAACTTTACTTTTCTCAGTAATAATATCTAAATTTAAGTGTGAAAAGTAAATGTACAATTTCTTTAAAGCCACATTTAAAATGATTACCAAGTTCTTGACATTTGTTCCTTAGGCATATATTATGACCAAATCATCTTCATATTGTAAATGAGTAACATTTGATCCTAAAATATTGTTTAATTTAAATATGTATAAAATAAAGACAAGAGGACTTAATATTCCTCCTTGACAAATACCTTTATAACTGAACCTGGGACCAATAATTGACTTTATTAACTTTAGCAAAAACTCTTCTTTCATGTAAAAGGTTAAATATCCATTTTACAATTTTTTCAGGAATGCCCAAAGATCTCATCTCTGCATCGAGTACCTGAACATTAACGTTATTAAATGCACCAACAATGTTAAGGAATATACTAATTAATACTTCATTATTTTCTATAGCTTTAAAGATGTCTAAATGAAGAAATGCAATACTTCCTTTAGATGACTTGCAGCGTCTGAATCCAAACCGATTTGATAGTAAAAGACAATTTTTTCTAGATAAAATTCTAATCTAGATTTTATAAGTTGCTCAAATATTTTACCCATACGGGATGTAAGTGCAATAGGTCTGTATGATTCAGCAATATGGGTTTTTTTTCCAATCTTTAAAATAGGTATCAAACAATCTTCTTTCCAATCGTTAGGAATAAGTGAATAAGACCATAACATATTATATATTTTCAAAACTAGTTCTCTACATGCAGTATTCATATTTTTTAAAGCTTTATATGGGACAGAATATAAACCACAAGTAGTGACCTTTCTAGAATTAACAGCTGAATTGAATTTGGAAAAAAGGTAAAAGGTTTGGTAAGATAATCACAATGATTATGGTTTGAGGAGTGAGGAGTTAGAGCTGATTCATTCGTTTCTGGAGTATATTTTTTCAAAAATTCATTAGCCCCATTGGAATCTATGACTGATGTGTTATTAATTATTATCTCTAAAAGTTTTGTTAAAAAGTTTCACATAGTGCTTTCCATCTGGGTTGTCTTTTAGTCTTCAAAGTAATTTTTTTATCAGCTTGTAGTCTTATAAAATTAATATAATTTCGTTCTGTGGGATCATTCTTAAATATTAAATACGTATTTTTACAATTTAATACTGCCTCTTTGCATTTTAAACTCCACCAAGGTAGAGATTTTTTTTTATTTCTTTTAAGAGATTGCAAGTTGATGTTAACATTTCGATTAAAAGACTGATTGGATGGTGTGGATTCATGCATGGCTTGTTTAGTTCTTGTCTAGTTCTATTAGATCTGTATAACATTGTAATGGGTTACTATAATCAAAACTTTAATTTTTAATTATATTATCTATTAATTTTGGATATTTTGACCAATCTACCAATTTTAAGTTTATGTTACTTGATACAGCTGTTTCTTGAAAATTTTGATTATTGATCGTAATTTTTGCCTTTATAGGAAAATGATAGCTGCCTAGAGAATCATCATCACATACTTGCCACTTACAAGAAAGAGCCAGTGAAGATGAGACAAGTGTCAAGTCTAATGCATTCTGCCTCCATCTGTGAGATCCTACTGTCATCTGACCATTATTCAAGATTACAAGATTGTTGTCATCTATACTTGCAAGAACGTCCCTACCTCGTGAATCCAATTCAGTACATCCACGTAACGTGTAATGGGCGTTGAAATCACCAGCTATAATAAAGACTGGCTGTGGCAAATTTTGGATTAAATTATCTAATTGGAATTTATTGTAATTAATTGATGATTTTTTTTAAATTGATGGCAGTAAGCACTAATTAAAGTTAATAATTTATCATTATATTGTATTTGTACAGCTATATTTTGTAATGATGAATGATGACTATCAGAGAATGTATTGATAACACGAAATCTAATTTTGTTATGTAGATGTATTGCTACTCCATTATGATCATTACCTGAACCTAATTGTATACTATTATAAGTACTTAAATAAAAGTTTAAGCCGAGTTTCACATATAAGAGCAACGTCTATAGTGTTCTCATATAAAAATTGTGTAAATTGAAAGCAATTTTTAATTAAACTCTGTGCATTCCATTGTAAAATGTTAAACTAATCCATAAAATATTAAATGCTAAATAATGACATATCTATTTTGGTTTCATTGTATCTATGAGAACATCTTTACAAGCTGAGAAGATATGGTGATTTATTCGTTTGGTTTATTAAGAGTTAATATTTTAATGACTGAATTTAAATTTATATTAATAATGTCATCATTCTTTAGCAGTGATATAAGAGAATCTTTAGGATTTTTTTTTGTTTAATTCGGGGAAATCATTTTTATTAAAAAGATCTACCATCGGGGTTTTATGTAATTTAGCCTGATTTTCTTTTATCTTTTGTTTCTTGACAGGACACTGTCCAGAAATGCTTAGAAGATTTCCTTTGCAATGTATACATATCGCTTTATCTGAAGAGACTTGACAATCTTTGTAGCTGTGATTTTCATTACAAATTGAGCATTTCACAGAATTTTTACAGTACTTTACTAAGTGGCCATACCTCAGACACTTGTAGCACTGATTCACTGGTGTACCGAGAACCGCCAACTGATTTACCTTCACTGATTTACCACGAACCGCCAACCATGAAGATCGACGTGGTCCGGCAAAACATTAGAAGCGAACGTGATGGCCACGGTGCCCATCGGCTGCATCAAATTGCGTCCTGCATCATTCTTAAGTTTCCTCATTATCCTTTTAACACATATTATCTTCCTGTAAGTCGTTAACATATCAGAATTTTTTTAATTAGAAAGATTAGTGGAAACATTAGTTATGACTCCTGTTATTTCTGTCCCTACAGCTGGGATAGATTTCTTCATTTTGCATTTATTAAAAAATGTTACGTTATTTTAAAATGCATTCGCTAGAGGGCTTTTCAAAATGAACGCCTATTTTGTATTTATTCATAATTTGCAAATATATTAATGCCTTTATTGAACCTCTTCATATGTGTGGACAGAGACATCATGTCCCGCGTGCCAATTGGCCTTCTTTCATCATTTGATTCAACAAAGACAACGAAATCACAGGCAATACAATAGCAGGGCAATACAACAGTAGGGCTTATGCCCTACTTTGTATCTCAAATATAAGCTTGCGCTGCTTTTTCTCAGAATCTTCCTCAGTACTGGTGCCAGCTTCTTCCTCCTCAGTCGTTTCTTCAAAGACTTCTTCTTCTCCCGGCAACTTTTTTTTCTACGTTTCCCCATGATGAGGATACCCAATAACAATAAAACAATAAAAGTTTAGTGCCTTTTAACTGAACAAAACAATATAATAAAAATAATAATTTAAAAAAGGCGTCTATCACATTTCAAGGTTCCCGCTTTTTTTCTGTCAATATCAAAATTTGTTTTTTTATATTTTATTTAACTGGCTTTACGGCTCTGGGTTCTAGCTCTTCTGAGCCTATCATTTCTTTCGGGATCTTCATTTTTATAGATATTTTCTACACAATATGCTCATGTACCACATTGAAGTTGAAGGGAAGTTTTTGGGAGATTTTGATGACAGCTAAACCCAACAGATAGTTGCCGACGATAGTCACTCAAGTTCATAAAGCGCCTATCAGAAAAACTTTTTTATCCTAGTTCGTCGTTTTCTCTTGCACTAAGTTCAAAAAGGAGCTTTCCCAAAACTTCCTCAAAATTTGGTAATTGTTGTCAAATCATAAATTAAGCTATATCTATGAATCAAATTGTGTATTTTACGATTTGCCACATATAGGAGGCCAAGGTCTAAAAATATACAGCCGAATATGATTTATACTTTATTTATCAAATTTCACAATATACTGTCACATTACAAAGTTTGTGGAAGATTTTAACGATACTTTAACCCAGCGGACAGCTGATAACGATATTGTTTGAAGGTCCCTAACTGGATTAAAAAATATCTAAGATTTTTATAACCATCGAAGCACTTGTTACATCGTTTTCACATATAGCCTTCATGACTATACAGACGTTTTATACTCCAAATTCACATTTAAGTATCAAATTTGGCTTCAAACTATTATTAAAACTATAAACCATATCAACCAATTCATAATGCTGTGTTAGTTCTTACTTTAACGTATGGTAGTGAAAGTTGGATGTGGCAGAAGAAGAACGAGAGTAGAATAAACGCTGTATAAATGTGGAGTATGTTAGGGCTGAATCTGAATGACAGGGTGAGAAATTGTGTAATAAGAGAAGAGTGTGGTTTGCAAGATGATGTTGTGACCAGGATTAAGAAAGGAATGCTTCGGTGGTTTGGTCACGTGGAAAGAATGAATGAGGAAAGAGTGACAAATAAAATTTATGTTGCAGAAGTGAATGACAGAGTCGGAAAGGGACGTTTTAGGTGAAAATTTATCGACCAAATTAGCGATTTATTTAAAATGGGCCAAATTAGGAGTACCCTTAACCAACGAGCATGTATGCGTAGGTACATGGATGTGAAGGAAGTGAGAGAGGTGTGTCAGAATCGTGCCAAATGGAAGTCCGTAGTCTCTGCCTACCCCTCTGGGTGACAGGCGTGAGTGTTTTATGTTGCGTTATGTAAACTACATCAGTCCGTCGGTTAAGTTTGCGCTAAAGCTCCTGTAAATTTTGTCAAAATCAAGTCAAAATGGGACTTCTATAAATGGAATGAAACGTATATAGCAATTTATATTTTCCCGCGATATCAATATAAATATCATAGAGCTCAATTACGTGCCTGTATAATGCAAATGGATTATCTTATTATCCCGTTGACAGTTCCGCCTCTCCATGTACAAGCACAAGTCATAATATACTCATCAAAGGAACAAGTATTCTATGACATAAAAATTATAGTTTAAATATTATACGCGTCAAACTTATAATTGTAATGAGAAAGAGTTTGTGAGCTTGCGCAAGTACACTCTAGTACTACTAGGTTGACAAATCAGTTTTCAGAATAAGACAATTCTCAAGTCTATTGAGTTGTGGAACATACATAGCCCTAAAGAGGGCTCCTCAGTGAGTTATAGAAATATGTTCTATTTTTTTTTTGAATCTTAAATTCGCCAGAATTAGTCTATGATTCATAGGCTGCATGGCCTAAGACTTTTCCCTGCTTTGTTTTGCAAATTTAACAACAAAAAAGTCTATGACTCACAAAAGAATATGGCGGCTATCGTTTCACCAGCCGATATGACGATTCAAAAGAATTCTCAAATTTTAGTGAATGTGGAAGAAGCCCTAGCTGATTTACTTGTTGTATCGTATTGTTCTGAGGACAAAAAATTTCAAGGGGTGCTTCTAGACTCCAGTAAAGGGTTGGTATTAGCAGATTACTTAAGAAATGCCATTATCGATTATTAGAACAATCCTATAAGTTTCTGTATAATTCTTCATTATTTTACAGTAATTTACCATTTGGAGTATATAGTCTTCATCCAGCTTTTAGTAAAGAGACTGAAACTGCCGTTAAGAAAGATGATAAACTACATTCCGTTAGTCAGAGGTTTACGTATCAAGAACACCAATACGCTGATGAAGACACTCAAAAATCGAACAAATTGGGATCCAAAGGCAAGTCCCAGCCTAGACAAAGGATGACAGTCAGACTGAGACCCAGGAAAGTTTTATGCTCTAATTGCCAAGGCATTTGCAATGAGAACAATGAAAACGTAGACGTGTCTAAGAAACGCAAACTAGATTGCGATGACGACACTCCTCAGGATAGTTCCGCAACTTCAAAAGTTGAAAACAAGCGGTATATGAGCAGCAGCAGTATGCTTATACCTAAATTATCTAGGCTTCAGACTAATGACGTCAGTGTCGTGAAATCGACAAACATGAATGAAAAAAAAATGAGAACTGTTAAAAGTGAAAAATCAATGGAGAGTGAAAAAACAACACGTGAACTGGCATTTGTTAGTGTGTCTGATGGCAATATTTGTGATGAAAGTGATTCGAAGGAAGACAATGATGTGTCGTTTAGTTCGTTGTTTTCGAGTGCGCGGACATTAAAAATCTGTTTTGGAGAGGGTGAGGGCACAGTGGTTAAAATTCCGCCCTTAACTGGAGACTACAATGAAGATTCGGGTGTGTCTTGCGATATGGGGAAACCGCCTAAACCTGATTCTAAAGCTGTGAAAAAAGCCCTTAAGAAAGCTAAAAAGCAAGCAAAAAGGAATAATGTAATGGAAAAAGAAGAGGAATTTCATGATCAATCTCCTAAACATATTGGTGCATTGTCACCACATAATAACATGGCTGATAACCCACCCATTGATCCCTTAGAAAAAAAACATAGGCACAAAATGAAACACAAGAAAAAACACAAAGTGACTAAAAAACGAGATGAGAATAGCAGTAAAGGTGACGGGGATGGTATGGACTACTTTAGTAATATAAAGGAACACTGTCTAAAGCAAAAGCTGTCAATCAGTCTAAGGAGGCTGAGTTGTAACTCTTATGAGAAACGTAATGAACAGGAAACTGATGTATCTGATGATTGGGAAAGTGAAACAGTGCCAGACTTTCCTGCAAATACTACTGAAAGCATAGGTGGGAGGCTACTGCGTGTTTCCCCTGGTGATATAGTTTGGGGAAAAGTGGTTGGATTCCCTTGGTGGCCAGGTAGAGTGCTGAGTGTTACACCTACTTCTAGAGCTCACGTTGCATGGTATGCATCTTCAACATCATCATTGATGCCCTGTGACAGCTTGAGCCCATTTTTAGAGGATTACAAGGTACGTGCAAAGTATGATAGGTATTATAATTTGTTTTCTAAACATAACTACAAATCACAGTTATTATACTAAAATATAAAGTTGACCTTAAAAAGAACTTTTTTTCATTTCTTAAAATGTAGGGTTGTACAATAGAATTTTGATAACTCGAACCTTGTTAAGTAGTAATCCTCAATAAATCGAAAAAAAATACCTTTCCTTCCACTGAAACCCTAAATATGCGGTATCTTGAATTATTTGGACATTGAACAAAATTTTATTCCCCTGCAAGGTATTGATAGCCTTCCGAAAGTATTTTTACATTGATGTGTTGCTATTTTTTTGAACTTTGGCTGCACATTTGGCCTTCAGTCAAAGGTTTTGATTATACTGCCAAAAACATTAAAATGTTTTTGTATGGCAATATAGCATGTATAATGTATAATATGTTGTGATCAATATGTTTTCAGAATAGGGCACATATTAATATAAGTTAAAGAAATGCTTCCAATTGTTTGCTAATCTTAAATTTGTTAGTAGGCCAAAAAACTAAATTAAAACTATACCCAATACTTTTTGGTGCGAATTTGATTTATGTGCAAAATGATGAAACTCAAATGACGTGTGGTTATTACATATTTCTACATAAAGGATAATAATAATCCTAAATAATGTTTGGAATCCTTACGAGTCTTAGTAGTTTCTGACCATCGAAAAAATTCAAAAGGCCTTCTTACGCCTCCTTTATTAAAGAAACTATGGATACTATCCTTTCTTACATCCCACATAATTGCAGTTCGTCATTCTCGCAACCTACTTATCATTGCACTCAAAATTCTAGGAGGCGTAATAGATGCCCCGGAACTTCATAATACCTTATGCAAGATCTATGTGCCTGACCACTTCTTGCGACATGGTACTGAGCTGACCAACAAATAATTTATCATCCATGTGTTGGAAACACTGCATATTCGTCCATGTGCATTTTTTCTTAAATTTGTT